TTAAGTCTCGTAGATCGGGTAAATAAATATATTCATACGAATTCATGGTGAAGGAAGGCAAGCACAAGATAACATCACAAATGTCCCCATCATGAATTCACTAAAACAAGCTTCAAGAATGCTAAAATTGAAGGAAAGGTATATACAAATTTCGTTAATCAAATAGTCACAATTGTTTATACACCATTGGTGCTACTCGACTGTGCCGGCACCAACTTCACATCATAGTTCAGCTCAAGACCAGCTTGAGAATCACCCTCGCGGGGGACAAAGTCCACGATCAAAGAGTCCTTGACGGCGAAGACGGAGTCATTGGTTAGGTACTGGTCTTTGCGGTCGAAGATCTGTGTGGTGAGGGGCTTGTAGCCGTCGTGGGTAGCCTATACACTTATTAGCTTGATCCACGGCGCTTGATATGAGCAAAGCGAAATAGCAAGATAGACTCACAATAATATGGATATGAGCAGGTCTGAACGGATGTCTATCCATGAGCTTGAGCAGCTTCCCTGCCGGTCCTACATTCAACATCTATCAGCATTCAAACCCTCTCTTGAACCACATAACCCAGGATAAAAAGTGAAACGTACCATCATCAGGAACGGGATACGGCGTGGGTCTCAAACAGTAGAAGTAATACCGGCCCTCCTCATCCGTCTTGAACTTTCCACGGAGGTTGAACTCCTCCTGGTTCGGATCCTGCTGCTCGTACAATCCGTTCGTCGCCGCCTGCCACACCTCCACGGTGGCGCCCACCAATGGCTTCTTAGTGGTAAAATCGATAACGCGGCCATGCATGAAAGCCATCTCACCATCCGGGACCCCCTTGACGATGTTATCGCCATTCTTGCGGTAAGGGGTGTCGGCGCGGAAGAATGGACCCAGGATAGCAGTTGCGGTGGGAGCGTCATCGGCTTCTTCGGCGAGTTTGAAAGTGATTTCGTCCACGAGACTTGAAATGCATTGTCAGTACATGTATTCGTGATATAGTAGAGGTGGTCGCAATCGATAAAATTATTGAAATGTGTATCAATATAGGTGAAACGTACGATTCCAATCCGATCACGTCGCAAACTAGCTGTCCCTCATTTCGTTTGTCGTTGCTCATTTGACCGGCCCAGTTCATCAACTGGACGCCGGCCATCCATTCGTCAACAGTGACCTCGTTCTCGCGCGCGAAGTCGTGGACATGGCGGATTAGGCTGGTCATGAGCTGGCGGAACCGAGGGTTGGTCTTGGGGCCCATAGCGTTGACGACATTGTCGGTGAAATCGGGGTCAAATCGGTGGGTAGCCATGTTGACTTTTGTTTTTCTTTCTTTTTATCTTCTTTCCTTGTTCGCGTGGGTGTTATTTCCGATATACTAGAGTTTGTTGTATATGTGCTGTGTCTGGTTGAGTTAAATCAAGGTATACTTCAGCATGAGGGGTAAGAGGGGTAGTAGATAAACGAAAAGGAACTATAAAACAGGATAAAATTCAAAAGAGCAAATGTAACAGTCTTTTTATATCAGAGGTCGATTCACCGACATGATTTGAAATGCTCGCCTTCCGGACGGCCTTTGCTGGCGAGACCCCGCAAATCGATCCGGCGGAACTAACAGACGAAGTTCGACTGCAGAAGGACGACGGGCGGATACTGGCATCGGAATGACCCAATGAACCGTATGATCGCCCGTCGGAAAGCGCACGAGGCCTATCCGATCCCCCGCAACTCGATCGGATGTCGGATAGGGAAGCACGGTGATTGGTCCGGGGAGGCAGACTTCCCCGCACCCTCCAGACCCTATGCGACGTATCGATACGAGCAACATTACCGATAAGGTCCTGGTGCAATATACAGTAGTCTATGCAAAGCTGTTGATGGAGTATATTCATGGCTGTGTAGTAGCATCTTCCTTCTTCTTATTCGCATTTCGTCGTCCCTTAGGATTCCCCTGCTTCATCAACTCCTCCGGCAATGCCTGAACCTCCTTCCCACCCTCCCATATCTTCCCCAATCCGTGCTTCCTCTCAACAACCACATCAAAGAACTCCACTGGGACGACACCACTACTGCCATTCACCACCATCCCTTCACTCAAAATAACCCCATTCTCACTCCTCCAAAACGGACACCCAGCTGCCAGCGCCGTCCTTAGATTAATATAAATAAGCACCTGCGCATCCCGGCGCATCCCCGAAATCACCTTCTCCCCATGATCTCCCGTAACTTCTTTTGCCCCCTGCGCCCCCTGTGCAAGTACAGACTCCACGGACGGCCCCGTAGCAAAATGCACCTGATTCCGCCCCATGCTCCTCAAACCCCCAGAGGCCAGAATCGCCGGCCAAGCAGCATGAAATGTCCCATGCACAACAGTATCAGGTAACTTAGCCTCATCATCCAGCGACAATTTCTCCAAAAATGAAGCCGCATCCACACTCTTAATACTGTGTCCCTGGGTCGCACGGATCAAGAAATGCGTCGGGTCGAGGTCCGACTCGGATACCGCGAGGGCCGTCTCCGTCGCGGAATCCTGCCCCGCGCTTGTCGTCGGGATGCCATGTTCTGTAGAAGCTTCCGTGGAGGTTGATTGCTGAGCCTGGGCCTCAGCAGAGGGGATATGAAGAAGGGCAAAGCGCTTTTTATCTGAGGTTGCGACGGCAGCGACGATTTCGGGGAAGGTGACTTTGAGGGATTTAAGTTTGCGCCAGGCGAGCTGTAGTCAGGGTTAGATTAAGATTAAGGGAGGTAGATCTGTTGTTTCTGGTGTGGTGAACTAGTGGGGGAGGTGTGAGGGTGTAACGTACCACGTCTGCGACATTCGCGTAGCCTTGCGAGTCTAGCTTCAGGCCTTCTTTTTCGGCGGCGTGTCTGAGTAGGAGACTTAGGGCTTTGGAGACGGTTACGTCACGGCCCCCAGAGGGCTTGCCTCTGCGTTGTTGGCCCATGATTCTTGACCAGGAAGATAGGTGTTGGAGGTGGTGTCGGAGGTGGTGTCGGAGGTCGGAGGGGTTTAATTGTTGGCTCTTTTCTTTTTGTTTCTGCGCGCTAGTTTTCTGGGGTGTGGAAGGTTAGCTTTTTTTTTTTTTTTTTTT